GTGAATAGTCCTTTTTCTCAGATCAAACCAAATAATAGCAGATCGTGACGATACTGTTCAGAGAGAAATAAACAAAAGGATTTTCTCACAAACACAGGTGACCTACAAACTGAACAGTCCAACTTTTGTTTGGTTGAACCGCAGTAAGAAGTATTGTTTGGTTTTCAAATATACCACAAACAAGTGTGAGATTTCATAACACTTTGAAGTAACTTTTGTTAAAGTTAAAGGGGACATATCATGAAAAATCCACTTTTTGTGCCTTAAATGCCTTATGTTGTGTAGTTGGAGCCTCTAGAAGTGCAAAAAAGTTGAAATCAGTCTCTTCATGGGTTGCAGAGAACACTTCATATTCTGTTTAGGTAAGATTTTTCAACCCGTTCTGATTTTGCCATTCTCTATTACGTGTTTAGAATTATTACGTCACAGTATTTGCAGCGAGACTGCCATATAAGGGCATGGGCGTCTAACAAAACACTTCGGCCCAGCCCTCCTCTACTGTGCATCACTTCGAATTTGTAGTCCAAGCTCAAGGATGCCAGCGAACAGGGCTGGACTGGACATCGGCCGTACCGGGCAATGCCCAAAGGGCCGATGCCCATAGGGCCGATGCCCATAGGGCCGATGCCCATAGGGCCGATGCCCATATTTGGGCCGGTCTGTCTGCCTCATACAAAACACATGTTTATGAGAAGTGTAAATCTGTTGAGAATTGTTGGAGCGGGGCGCGCGTATCCGCGGGGCACCTGCTGTATGCACTCGAACAGGATTCCGCCACCTCGGGGGCCGCAGTGTTCCGGGGCATCTGCGGCCGCTTTGTAATGAGCAGCTTCCGCGTCCAGCGGCTGCGAGAGGCTGTGAGCGTCCAGCCGCTCGCAGCCGCTCCACCGTGTTGTGGCTGAGCGCGCAGCCTCATCGTGGCCATGGACCCAACCCCATAAACACAGGACCATGCGTGTCTTTGAGTAATCTGTGCACCATAAATACACTGCTGCAGGAAACAGTCCGCGTCTCCCTCTCCTCTCGAAGCGCGATTAAACGCCCTAAATAAAGCTCTGATACCTACATTTTGCATTGCATTAAAAGTTAATGTTTGAGCCCAAAAGTAATATGTTGTGAACAAATTAAACAGATTTAGAGCCAGCAAATGGCTGACAATATGCATATCAGTCTTTTTTGACCAATTCTCATCCCTGTAACAAACAGTAGTGTTGTCTGTGTCCACCTCCCTCACTCTGAGACATGTTTATTACTCTCTTGTAATGCAGACTATTGCATTTTATTTTATTGTTGAAACTGCACATGTCCTGATCCTCTACAGTATTTGCTTCCACATACTGTATAAACTAGGAGTCGGCAACCTGCGGCTCCGTAGGCGCATGTGTCTTTTTCCTTCTGTAGAAGGAAAAACGTTCTCAACGTTTTTAAATGCTGTAAAATTGTGCATAAGTAATATTCAACTAAAAAAATTCTGTCAACGTGTCTGTCAAACCGGCGTGTGAGCATCATAGACTGTGCGCATTGATCCCAAAGCTAAAAAGAGAAGAGTCGATAATAAGACTGGACTAAGAATGAAACTTAACATTTGCTTTCAGTCAATGAGGAAGGCCTGCTTCATGTTTTCGATGTAATGAGAAGTTTCTATGAGATAATTGTATCTGTGCTTAGAAACTACAAAAATGGCCGCTCGGGGTGGAGTTGAACCTGTGTCACCTGGGCTGTGTCCAAAACGGTAGGCATCAGGCCGCGTAGGGTGGATATGTAGGCATCGTGACGTCACTTCCTCAAGCGACGGCTATTGCAGGGGTGTCCAAAACCACTTGCGAGCTCGCCAAGCGTAGGCATCATGACTTCGTCTCTATGGAAACGGCCACTTTTGGAGCAGATATGAAGGATGCATCTGATGTATGCTTCGTTGCCTTCTTTTTGCCAAGTCACGGCCGCGCATGCGCAGAACTCCGTTCGGCATTAACATGTAAACAACAGCTCGGAGCTGCTGGAGCTAACATTATGGTAAGCACTGCTATACTTTACTGTGAAGTTATGTCTATAGTAAGTACTGCTATACTTTACTGTGAAGTTATGTCTATAGTAAGTACTGCTATACTTTACTGTGAAGTTATGTCTATAGTAAGTACTGCTATACTTTACTGTGAAGTTATGTCTATAGTAAGCACTGCTATACTTTACTGTGAAGTTATGTCTATAGTAAGTACTGCTATACTTTACTGTGAAGTTATGTCTATAGTAAGTACTGCTATACTTTACTGTGAAGTTATGTCTATAGTAAGTACTGCTATACTTTACTGTTGAGTTATGAACACGACTGTTATGATAAAACACAGACATAATCAGAATCAGAATCAGAATCAGAATCATTTTTATTGCCAACGTAAGTAACGGGAGGTCACAGACTTGGAAATTGCTTTGGCTCAGTGCAACAGTCAAAAAGAGATAATAAAAATAAGAATAAAAAACACTTCTAAAGAATAAATTTAAATTTAAAATAGAGTTACAGTTACTATTTACAATATACAAGTGCACATGGTGCACACAATGTAAGGTGACAGCAGTACAGTGAAGTAAAGTGACGTATGATGGGCAGTAAAGTGACTTTATAAAGGGCGGGGGGACAGGTTAAGAAGTGTTCAAGAGTCCAACAGCAGAGGGGAAGAAACTGTTCTTGTGGCGGGAGGTTCTAGTCCTGATGGACCGCAGCCTCCTGCCTGAGGGGAGTGGTTGGAATAGTCCATGTGCAGGGTGAGAGGGGTCGGCTGTGATACGACCAGCCCGGCCTCGAGCTCGGGCGACGTACAGGTCCTGCAGCGATGGAAGGCTGCGGCCGATCACTTCCTCTGCAGAGCGCACAATGCACTGTAGTCTCTGTTTGTCCCTGACTGTGGCTCCAGCGAACCACACAGTGATGGAGGAGGTGAGGATGGACTCGATGATGGCCGTGTAGAACTGCACCAACATCTGTGCAGGCAGCTTGGCTTTCCTGAGCTGCCGCAGGAAGTACATCCTCTGCTGGGCCTTCTTGATGAGGGAGCTGATGGTCGGCTCCCACTTGAGGTCCTGGGTGATGGTGGTGCCCAGGAAACGGAAGGACTCCACAGAGGTGATGGGGGAGTC